GGTATGAGAGATCACTGTCCCCATATAAATTGGTTTGGAACATCCTGAGGCTTTTGCAATACTACCTTGTTAAGTTTAAGTCATTTTTCAGGGGTTTAAAACTCTGGTACAGGCATGAAACTTGGTAGTAAAAAGATCACTGACAAAAGGAGAAGATTGATATGGATTGTGTTGCTCGGCGTGGCTACATGACTCAATAGTGCCCCCTACAAAATGTCATAAATTCAGCCCCTGCAGCATGAGGACCCTAGGATTCAGAAAAGCATATGGACCACACCAAGACCTACACAAAAGCCGCTCGGATTCCATATTGTAAAACCAACAGCAAGTCTGCCATTTAAAAAAATGTTGGTTAAAAAAAGGGAAAATAAGTTTTGTCCACTGGGATTAACTCCTTCTAGGGGGTGAGTCAAAATTATTGTAGTGCTAGAAACAACATTGAAGAAAAAGGTTAGTCAGCTCCGGAACGAAACTCAAAGGGTGCGGCTGTGATGGCTTGTCAAAATGTGATGTCTTGCCATATGACAGGAAGTTCCCGTTGCTCAAACATACAGGGTCCAAACAGCCTCAAACGGTACTTGTTTGGGTAGAGACCAAATCTGAACATATCTAAAAAATTTAATATTTCTTAAAGCGCTACCTATTGTCAATACCAGTTAGACCTGTATGACATGCTTTAGTCCCTTAACATTTCATTTACCGATGTGCCCTCACTGCATGTTCTGACTTGGCAGTTCACAGCTGTGCGACAGTTCTCTGTCTGATAAAGACATCACTTCAGCAGCATGTTTTTACAACAACAGAACTGAAAAACCATGTTTTAAGAATCTTCTAACATCAACCATCAACTTCATGTTCCATAGTTTTAAAGACAGCAACATGATCAGTAACTTTCTTGCGATACATTGCGCTCTGACATTACAAAGGCGGACAATGTGCAGTGTTACTTACATGTGATTTCAAGCACTATTTAAGAGGGTGCATAACAGAAGAAATGACGAGATCAGTCCTCATATTTCTTAACACTGGATCAGTACTCAACTAATCCATTCAATCATTCCAGCAAAAACACTTACATTTGTTTTTAGCTGTGCAAAGTATCTAATTCACCAAAAATCTAATATCTCTTGGTTTAAAGAATATTTTTAAAGCCCTTTGCACTATTGTTAAGATATAATGATCACGTAAGAAAACAATTGGCCACTTTAATAACAATAATAGTAATACTAGTAACAATAATAATCGTTGTTGTTGAAACAAAAAAGGCTACAAAAAATATTTTTGCCCTGTAATTAAAAAATGTGGACAAACATAAATGATTATTTAAACAATAAAGTGGTTTACATTGAGTTTTCAGAAATCTGGATGTTGAATAAAGATACTATATGTTACTTACGCAGTCCTGCTTTGCCTGTAGTAAATTAATATAAATCCACTGTCTAATAAACTATTCTTTGAGTGAAAAAAAAAAAATCTAATACTGCTCAAATATCAAACACATAATAGTCTATAGCTCCTGTACTGAGTGAACACACCTGGCTCACTCAGACTACAAATCCGTGGAAACAGACATAATGTATTTAGCACACCGGTAAACATGGTTTAACACAGGGTTATAATCATAGACTGTAAGGTTAATAGCTTTGCAGCATCATTGTTAGAAGAGTTCAGTCTTCATATCTGAGCCTGAATTCTCACATATCACATTACTACTGCCTCTCCAAGAGTGATCTGAGGGCATCCATCCTCATTACATCGACATTTGAGCAGCCCTTTAAAATCCCGACACTTACAGTAATATCCTGATGGCATCATTGTTTCACCTGCTTCATATCCAGGTTCTGTCAAATGTTTGTAAAACATTGTTTTCGGGTGATGTGATAAGGAGACTTCAAAGAGAACCATCTGGGTTATTTATGTAGCTCTGTTTACAACAAATCAATCACTGAGCTGACAGCCAAATCTACCCAAACAAACCTTTTTATGTTCTGTTTCAGACTCGAAAACGACAGGAAGAGTGTGAGATATCTTTTATTGTGACATTTACTTCACATTTTCTTAAAGCAGTCCCGGCGTTCACACAAATGAAGGCTGACCTGGTTTCCTCTCCGCCGCTTTATTGACCGTCTCCTTCGGCTAGGCTGAAGCTAACGCAGCTAGCAGCTAACTGCACATTCATTTTTCCTCGATGATGGCAGCAGCGTTGTGCTGAAGGACAAAACAAAACAGTAAGTTACTCACCCTCGCAGGGTTTGAACAGGACGCTGTGAACAACCACGACGGCTAACGTGATCCGCAGGTTAGCCATGATCAATATATTCCAGTTTCATCGCATTGACACGTTTTCTTAGCTCAGCGTTAGGCTAAGTGTGGCGAGTAGTGACAGCTAACCAGGCTGTCAGTGTATTAAGTAACATGGTCCACCAGCAGGCAGCACACACACACACACACACACACACACACACACACACACACACACACACACACACACACACACACACACACACACACACACACACACACACACACACACACACACACACAGAGGAGACAGATTACCTATCTATCTATCTAGTTTAACATCATGATGATATACTGTTTGTTAATCCAGGATGGAGAGGATCACTATGGACAAACACATTACTAACTCTACATATGGCCCCTTTTTCAAAACCATAAACTCCTATTTATTTTCATTCTGATCTCCTGCAGCATCATGAAAATATGATTGACCTAATTTTTTTTAATCTGTTTATTTCTTGCTCATCACCTGTAGCTACATACACTTCAGTTGTGTTACAAAATGTAAATGCACAACATTAATGTTTCTTTTTTTGTTTGTTGTAGATTTATTTAGCAAATCACTATGAAGTTATCAAGTCAATAATATTCAAAACAAACATTATGAAGCATTATAATATCTTAAGATGCCTGGCAGTATATGTAAGTAGTGATATGTTGCTAGATTCAAGTCTTGTTTCTCTACCTCTGAACGTTGGACATTAAAGCTACCAGTCTGATGTGGAGCGAGCTAAAATGCTCGGCCCCCTTTTAGTCCCGCTTCCATCATTGTAGAGAACACATCACTCTAAAAGACTACACTATTTGATCCTCAGCAACAACTGCTGTACATGTAGATACATATGGGATTTGTCAGGATTCATTTGATCAAAATCATAATTAGAAAAGTCTTATTATATCTATCAATCCATCTATTAATGCATCCAGATACAGCCAGAGATCAGATCATTCACATGGGCTTACCTCTTTGGTCCTCAGCAAAGACAGATGTAAATGCATATGGGCGTAGCATGAATGTCTTAGTCTGGACCGAGCTGCAACCTTCCGTCTTAAAAATGAAGCCAATGCAAAGTACAAAATCCTGCAGTTCGTCAAGAGACGCTTGAGGCTGGCTCCAGGAGCGCGGAAGTCACACACACACCACAGCCAAAGAAAACTTTTTTTTACAGCAGCAATTAACATGTTAAAAGCCGGATGCGAGAAATGAAATATCTGATCAGTTATTGTCATCACTGGCACACAGTGTGCAAGGGTGATTTTTAAAAAATGGCTCATTTTAGATTGTATAAACAATATGTGTTATCCATAGTAACGCACGTGGCTGACATGATTGACAGGTGGGCGCGATGTAAAGGTGTGTCATAAGGCTTAAAGCCCCCTGCCCTGACAGATGGCTGACGTCACTCAGGCTTCGTCCATTAATATTTACGGTCTGTGATCTAGACCCACAGACAGAAGAATATTCTTTCTTTGAGGTTCCAAAGTAAAGGCTAGGACTTCAAGTGTTATGACATTACCATGTATTTAATTGAGTACAGTGTTTTTTTCACAGCTTTTGGATGAATACAGTTGCATGCCATGGCTGCAATGAAAATTTATGAAAGCAAAGATGTGAACAGAAAAAAAACAAAAAGAAAGACCTAAAAAAACAAACATAAATAAAATCCTAACTTCGAACACTTGACTGAATTCAACTTTAAATGCCCTCAATTTATTTGCAATTTCATGAATTCCATGCACTCATAGAGTTAATAAAAGCAGGACATATCATATGAAGATGTTATTGGCAATATCAGAAAATGGCAAAAAAAAAAAACATCTGTTGCAGTTTTGCTACATTCTATTATTCTATACAATATTTACAAATGATTTATGGCTGTCTTTTTTTTCTTACAAAAACAATCATTACAACAGATTCAACGGCTGTGGCTCTGTTGGTAGAGTCATTGTCTCTCAACCTGAAGGTCGAGGGTTCAATCCCTAGCTCCTGCTGCAACATGTGATGTGTCCTTGTGCAAGACACTTAATCCCGCTGCTTCGTTGACGGCGTATGAATGGGATTAGTTACTTCTGATGGTCTCACTACATAGCAACCACTACCATCATTGTGTGAACGGGTGTGAATGGGTAGGTGTGACATGCAGAGTAAAAACGTTTTGAGTAGTCAGAAGCGCTTTATAAACTCAAGTCCATTTGCCATTTACCATAACACAGTATATAACACTGTAAAGAATGTAAAGCTCCCTGTAGCATTGTGTGTCTCTTACATCTTGCATTTGTCATTTATACAGTATGTGCCTTCATGGGTTTTATTTCATTGATGAGGTAGATTCTGTAAATGTTTGAGCACATGTCAAACTGAGATGATCACCTTCAATATTTTATTATAATCATCATAATAAAACTATTTTTTAGCCTTTTTTAATGCTATAAACTTATATTTTTAATGCTCCTGGTGAAAAAAATAGCTCTTTTCTACCGTTACTCAAAATATAAGATATAATCAGAGCCCCGAAACATTATGGAGATTGTGCTTCAAACTCCTCCCACTTTGTCATTGCAGGGCTCATTTATGTTCCTCTACAGTTCAGATTTAACAAAAAAAAAATCTCCTTTCTAACTTATTTTTCCTAAAGGACGTAAGTGCAACAAAGGCTGAATATTTGGTAATAAATGGTTCATACAGCCAAACAGCCTTTTTAATTCTTTACCTTCTTTTTGTCTCTTTCCTTTTTCTCATTTTTCTCCTTCTCCATCTTTTCTTTCTCTGCCTTCTTTTTCTCCTTCTTTTTCTCATCCTTGATCTCCTTGTACTTCCACTTAGGTGGTTCCAGGAAGCCCTTTTCCATTTTCTTCTTCTTCTTTTGTTTCTTTGGCGTTGCCTCTGTAGGCCTGTTGATGTTGATCTGGGGGATGCAGCCAGAAGGGAACACGCTGTTTCGTCTCGCCATACTGCGGGGAATAAATGTAGAAGCGACTTTGGTGGAAGCCAGAGACAGGATGCTGCCTCGCCTGTCAGGATCAGTACAGCACGTTGTAGTGATGGACTCTGCAGATTGGATTGTGGGTATGATGTGTGATACTGAACCATTACTGTGGCACACTGAGCTCTCTACTAACTCATTTTCTGGGTGTTTCTTCACCAGCTCTGGGACAGCCAAGCGCCTCTTCCCCACCTCAGGAGGGCTTGTAGGACAGAGGGGACGGCATCCAGTTGAAATCAGGGGACTGTGGACACTGGTGGTGATGCGCACCATATGGTCCAGGCACCCGTTATCCTCAGGGTCATGAGGTAATCTGAATCCAAATGTGTTCTTTAATCGCTGAGTAATTTTTTCCCTGGCACTTTTCTCAGCTGTGGCCTTGGCTACCCGCTCCTTGAGCTCAGGCCACTCAGGGATGAAATTCTCACAGAACTGCTCAGCTTTCGGCCGCAATTTAAGGCGACGGAGACGATACAGGGTCTCATAGCGACCCGTTTTTAGTGCCCAGTCCCGAGCACATTTTCCTTTTGTGGTGTCTACTGCATGTGTATCAGCCCCTGGTGAGAAAGATGTGGAAAAGAATGAAGCATTTTGAAACTAATAGCCTTATTTAGTCACTCTCTGTTTTAAATCATATTCAGATCTGGGGAGCACTCATTTTCTATGAGGCCAGGTAAAATGTGGATGGTAGTGGTAGGAAAAGCACATGTGTCTTCAATCACTCTAAAGATTACTTAATTCCAGTTTACAGGTGAAGAACCCACTATGGCAACATAGTGTTCCAACATGCATCCCTGAAACTGAAGCATCTCGTGTGAATCTTTACACTGAGGTGTTTTCTGCCATGTCATGTCAAATCTGCCCCAAAAAAGGCTTCAATCATATTTCTCGACAAAACATTGTCAAAAGACAGAAAAGTAGACACCAATCCAGCGTTATTTAGGTTAGACAATTTTCACTTTTCGTAGTGGCAAAAGCACGTTTGGCCAATTTTGTCTTTTTTAAACCAGCTCTTTTGTGTTCAAGTATCTTTATTAGGTTATGACAATATTAACCAGCATGCATATAACCAGGATCCTCAAACTGGTGCAGCTAAATGGGATTCGGCCATTAATTTTATGATTTACACCCGTGCAAATTATAACTAGGACATGGCAAAATGTCCCCAATGTGTTTTGTGGTGAGTGCCTTTATATGGCTTTATAATACAACTAGTTTGTAATGTTACAAACATATCACATGCCAAGCCAACAGACTCAAAGATTCATCAATTTATCGATTAAAAAAAAAGTAGGCTATAAATAATGAGTTGTTGCCTGACTGCAGTTTCAAACAATAAATTATGACTGAGAGTAAGAAAAACATTTGAAGTCTACAAATAGCTGTTGGCTAATCTACAGCCAGCCTCCAAGACTAGTAAATCAGAGATTAGACAACTGGACACGGTGTTAAGATGTGATAATGTCCTCAGAATGATCCCTTAAACTGGCCTGGCGTCATCGTATCGTCACTCACCAACAAAGTTAGCTGTCTTCAAATATGGATAAACCGTGGGCTCAGCTATTCTCACCGCTAGAGCTGTAACTATTCTTTACTAGCAGGGGGCCTGGTTAATGAGCTAATGTCAGGGTGTGGAAAAAAAAAAGACCTATTAATATCATAGTACAGTGTGAGCACTGTGTGAGTGCAACAATGTGAGATGGGTTAGGATAAAGAGGACACAGACATAGTGTTTGAAAAAGGTGGGACTTGAACAAGCAAAATATATTCTCACCAATCTGAGCTGTATTTTGTATGTTCATGTACATTTTTTAACGGGTTCATTTGTGTTTCTCCTAAGTATAAAGTAAGTAAGTGTAAAATGATAAACTAATATAGACTTCCCAAACTTTAGTGGTCATACATTTCAAATGAAGAAAAGCTGTCAATCTTGTGCTTGAGAGGTTTTATCTGTGACCCTGCTTTCATACGTACCAGCCATAACAAGGGCAGCCACGACGTCATTACGGCCCGTCATAGCAGCTTTGATGAGGGCTGTGAAGCCTCGACAGTCTCTTATTTCCATGTCTATTCCAGAGTAGTAGTTTAGGAGATACATGACTGTGTTTACATGACCTGAGGAGAAGAAAACAACAGGATTTAGAGATCAGATCAGCAAGTGTATCAGAAAATTAGTGAAATTTGAATTTAAAAAAAGCTTTATGTATTACATTACAAGAAAAGCTGACCATCTTTTTTATAAATTTGTAAACGAGGTGGTCTGACTTACCTGCCTGTGATGCAATCATCAGAGCAGTGTTGCCTTCATTGTCCTGATGATTTATGTCGAGGAAGGGACAGCTATGGAGCCCATACACAATATCCACATAACCTTTGCAACAAGCCAACATCAAGCCGTTCTGTTGGAGAAGGGTCAACAGTGAGGATAAATGACATTGGGAATACTCTGACAATAACACACTTGAGGTTGTGCTGTTGTACTGGATATCTGCACAGCTCTGGTTATCTTCTAAATTTAAAAACATTATCAATGAGACCCTCACCCAGCTATTGATGTCCAGCTCCATGGCTTCTTCTTTTGTGATCCCCCTCTCCAGCACTTTGCGCAGAGAGACAGGCTCATTGCGGGCGCATGCTTGATACAGAGTTGTTGCGATGCAGCCGTTTGTAAACTCCGACTTGTAGTCAGGGAGCACCGAGTCATCTGAGAGAATGCTGTCTGAATCGGACTCACTCCCTGACAGAGACAGGTCGTCTTCATCAGGGCCTGAGCCAAGGTGGGGGTCCCCGGCTGCGGTAGCCATCTTCCAACGGCAGAGCAGATGCGATGACACTGTGTTCTTAGACTACATCTACAAGACGATCAAAACAGAAACAACTGAATTTGAAAACACTGGTCATCATCTCTTGCAACAAAGTCGCCATTAGCTCTAGAGATTGAACACTGAGGATGAATCTCTCCTGCCTGGAAAGCTCTCTTTGGTTACACACATTGAAAACTCCACATCATCTCCTTATTGTGTGCACCTCATCATGCTGTAGGTGTCAAACTTCAGATGAGTCTATTTGAAAGATCAAAAGTTTGTCAGGTTGACCTGGGGTAACATGACTGTGTCTGTCAGGGATTATGAGTGTGTTATGTGAGTGTCATAGAGGGGGTGTGGCCGTGTGAGCTCAGTGTGCCTTTACTGTTGAGTAACTGGATCAGCACTTGAAAGCCCCGCGGAACATACAGCATGGGCTAAATGTGGAACAATCCACCTCAGAATAAACTCAGCTGCACGTGGACCTGCTAAGCTCATGTTTTGGCCCTCGTACTGCTGTCTGAAGTAAATATGACTACTAAAATAATAACTACTGATATTTCACTGAATCTTAAAATAGCATGTATGTAATCACATGCAAATTTTCCGGGTACTCAGGTGAAACGCACTTTCCGATTTAAGAAATTGTTATACAAGAAAGCACCTCTTACTTTGAGAAATGAACACGCGTCCAATCATAAATGTCACAGGTTAATTCTGATGAAACCAAAATATAGAAGTTGATATTCTCAGAAAAAAGTGCAGCGTTCACCGTCTTTCATCATTATAGACTTTACGATCACTGAGAACAAACTATATTATACACAAATATTAACATAGCTGAAATACACTTACCAATAAGGGCATCAAATTAGCTGAAAATGTAGATGTATCCACTGTTCATGTCCGACCTTAGTGACTTCTTCTGGGTGACTTCTGACTTCCTCCAGCACTTCTGTGTTTTTCAGAGCAGCTGACAAGTCACCCATTTCCATGCCACATAATGTAGTGATGACATAAAACTGAGAGGAGGAGTCTTCAGAGAGTCTTCTCAGAGACTCGCTGTGTTCACCTCCTGTTCTCAGCTCATCCCACTTACAACAGCTTCATAAAGAGGATTACATCCTGCTGCAGGCCCTTTCACCTTACGGGACATCAGCAGTTTAGTCCGTGCTACCTTCTCATTATGAGGTTTTAAAGTGGCTAAACTGAGATAAAAAAAAAAGAAAGTTGTATGCTACTTTTCTTTTTGTCTCATGTTTCTTAAATCTTTTCTTAAAGTTTTTCTGCTTGTTTAATCATATTTTGCAACTGTTACGGGAGCATTTAATGTCAGGATGAAAAATAGATTAGATCACAAACAAATCATGAAAAAAACACTTAAATCACATAAGTCATTAATCCAATTGTAAATGTCTAAATGTTAACTGTAAGCTGCTTACACCAGAGGAATCTAATTAATTGTTAAGACTGACAAACGATCGAATCCCATCAGATGTGACCAAAGTGCAGTGAACAGATGGGACAGATTCCAGACTCAGGAGTTTAACCAGCAACAAAACCCATTTTATAGAAAAGTAGCAGCACATGCTGATTCAGATATTTCTCAGCTTCACCGGAGGGTGGGCAGGTCTCTCACACTTCTCACATTCAGCCTTTGAAATATGCTCATCAAAGAGTGAAAGTGAGGCACATTAATATCTTTTTCAATTATTAAAAGAATTTAAAAACTTTTTTTGCATGATTTAAGGACCAATACAAATAAAAAAAGAGATTTGGCAGTATACACTGGTTTACTCAGTAGTCATATCAAAGTTCTTATGGCCTTTCTGGGGCTGTTTTAAGAGGTTAGAAATTCTGTTTCACTGGCTGAATTTAGCCGATGGGACCTGTGGGATGTGACCGGACTTGTCCAGACAGATTGACCCTCTGCTTGTCTAGAATGGGCCTGAGGACAAGTCCCACTGCAATTAAACAGCTTCCCCTCTGCCCAGAGGAGAAAAAAAACCTGGTGCAAAGCATAGATTGTCCCGTTTTTCCCTTCTCCTAGAAGTCAGTCAAAGACTCGTGCAGGACCAGCAGTGGATTTGCTATATTTTTTAGGATATCAGGTGATGAAAAAGTATCACCAAATTTGGACAAACTCAAGTGGAAAGAAGACAAGAGATTGAAAATGAAGAATTTGGCAAAAGCGCAATGGAGGACTGAACAACTTCTGGGATACAGGGTTGAGAAAGTGAGTGTCTCTGTCCATGAGGCCAACAATTTCAGAAATAACTTAAGTCAATGCTGAAAATGTGCAAGGATCAATTCTGAATCTCTGCTAACACGTACACAAGTCTTGGAATAGTGTGTATTTCAATATAGTGAAAGTGTTTAATAACCTTTAATAACTTGAGGAGTATATGAAAGTAAGAATATTGGATGATTGCTTCAGCTCCTGTTTACATTTATTTGTGTCTTACAATCTTAACCTTGCTTTAGTGAAGTTCTTCTCTTGTTGAATTTTAATATTATTTTAGATTTACAATCCGATATTAATAACATTATTCTATTTCTCTTCCATAACATGTGTTTTAAAGTGCTAGTGCTCATTCTTTTATCTGATTATCATATTAAATACTATAAAATATTGAATTCATTATTAGTGTGAGTATAACTGGCTGAATGGAAAGAAGATATATACTTATATTCATTGAGCTTGTATTTTGACAAAACGTGGCTGTTTATGTGCCGTTGCTTTTTGTATTCTCACTCAGCTCCATTCACAGTCTGGCTTTACGCTTCAGACTCCATCAAACTTGATAAACAGCCATCTATCATCAGGGTTTTCAGTTTGCTTTCACTTGTTTAGTAAACTGAACTGCAGTAAACTGAAAAATCAAGCCCTTAAACTAGGAGTCAAAGTTGTCCTCTGGTGATTAGTTAAGTCCTCTCAGAGAAAATTCCTCAGATAAGATAAGAAACCACTCAAGCTGAAGCTGAAATAGGAAAGAAAGAGGAGTTTGGAGAGAGAGGTGAAATAGAGTGGGAAAGTGGTGTAATTAAGCCAGTTACCTTTTCGGTCCCACATAGACACAGGCCTTTAAATTACCGGACTCTTTTGATCTAGTTGATGCTTTTTTGAAAGGCGGACAAGTGTTGTTGTTTTGAAAAAATAAGTTTGAACTGTATTATTTGTAATTTCACAGTCACTCCAATGTCTGTTTTGTTCGTAAGATTTCAGACCCCAGTCGGGAGAAACTGCTGTCCAATGAACACAATAAAGACGTGCAGGCACAGCTCAAGAGGGCCAGGAAGTCCAGTGTGGCTGTAGAATGCAAAGGTAACACAGCATGTTTATCTACTGCTCGCTTGACTTCAGTGAATTCAGAGAAAAACAGTTTGTATCTGAAGAGCATCCATCACATCAGAGAGTAATGTGTTTGTCTTGTTACAAGAAACAGATTGTATGAATGTGATATGTAGCGACACTGATTAAAACATACTCTTCTTCCTTATCCTGATGTTTAAATATTGGCTAATTAGTTGCATGCTCGCTTGCATACACATGCATGTACATATAATAATCCATCATTGCAGAGCGATCAGTGCTTTTCAGCTCACAGGGATCATCATGTCAGAGTTTTTAAAAGCTTAACTCCAGGGAAAGAGAGGGAGAGCATTGTGATATTTTTATAGCTGTAATCTGTCCTCTCTGGATTGAGATTCCAGCGTTGTGTTGGTCAAACTGTGACATGATTGTGTGCTTATCTATCCGTGTGTGTGATGTGTAACATAGGTGAGTCACATTTAAACAGCAGCTCGCCTCCTTTCTTTTTTATACATCTTCTTCTTCACTAAATTCATCATGTTAGGGTTCGTACAAGTTTACGCATAAATCTCCTTGAATCACAGAGCTGGCTGCCACGAGCCTGGACAGCTGTGCTTAGAAGATCATCTAGTCATGAATGCTTAATCTTAGCTTTGAGATTAAATCGGCCTGCCTTCATCCTGCCAGCTCAGCTTGCTGTGTGTGTGTGTGTGTGTGTGTGTGTGTTTGATATTTCCACATGTTTTTTCCACAGCAGAGGAAATTCTTTAGTAGTTGTTATGAAAAAGGAAACCAGACGGCTGCATAATTGATCAGAGAAAAGGTTCTTAACGTGTTTAAAAAATCAAACATGTGTGTCGGCTGATCTTTGTTTGGAATGGCCCTTAAAAACCAATCAAACAATTACATCCCCACAGACCCCACTTAAGTGCTGTCATAAGCTGACATCATGTTGGTCCCTCTAGTTCCTTTTCACATTTATGAAAAATGTAGCAGGATTTATTTGATATATTATTCACCCACTTTAACTGTTTTGAGGATCAGAAGAATGCATGATTAAGGGTGTGCTGGCTTTAAGTGACATGTAAGTGCTGCTAGTCGTCTGCTAGCTCTCACCTCAGCTAATTTTAGCGCCTGACATCTCTTTGGCTTTTAGTGATGTTTGTGACTAAGGAGAATTTAGTGGTTTTACTAGAGAAATGACTTGCTATAAAATTAGTGCAATTAAAAATAATTAAAATCAATATTTGCCCCAGTTTTTCTATTAAGTTAAATTCTAATATGATTGGATATGTATGTAAGATCCCAGGGAGTCTCAGTTGATGTCAGCCCCTGCACCATGACTGGCTTGTTAGCTTGTCCATAGCTTGTTCAAGAGTGTTTGGCAAGCTTATGGCATTTAGAATTGTTGTTGGTTTCCCCAAAGAGAAAAAAATGGCCGAAGTGATGAGAAGACGTGATTGATTTCAAGTTTTCCAATATGTTTGGTTTTTCCACCTTTTGCTAGCTCGCTAGCATCGAGTTCTACATGCTCTATTAAAATAAATACAGAAGTCAACAATAATCAATCTATCTGATCAACTGCTAAAAAGATAGCCTTGGGCAAAGACTTTAATACCTTGATAAACATTTGCATATCTCAAATGAGTACACTGAAAACAATGCTTTAAACCTGCATACCTTCTAA